TCTTCCTTCTTCCAGCGGGTCAGTAAGGACAAACAATGGATTGATTTATTAATCCCATTAATAATGCTGCTCCCAAGAGGATTTCTTTTATGAACAATGTATTCGCTCTCACTTCTGCTTGGACCAGCATTCCCCAACTCACTCGAGGAGGATGGCCAATCAGACAAGCCATGCATTTAGGTCATTAGCTAATTAAAGCTGCATTATCTATTGTATTGCCTGAAGAAGGGAGATCAGCTTGTGCCCTCCGTGCTCATCCAACTGCTCTCACAGCAGTGCGCAGTCTGTCAGTGGGTGTCAATCTTGACATTTTAATTAGCTTTTATTGGGTCTGGTGGCTGAGTGTGTGTGGTAGATGGACAGAAAGATAAATATGAAAAGGATTTATGTGGATGTTCTGAACACATGAAGCAAAACTGTTTTGCTTAGTGAAATCTGTTTTTGTGCTGAGTATGTTGTTTGAAGCAACTGTCTTTGTTTTCTTTTTGCAAAGAAATAATCAAGTTAATTATAGACATGTCCCCTAGTGTTTATACTGTGCAGCCAAGCTGTGAAAAGGGCTAAAAAATACTCCTCAGATACAGGGATAAGATGTGAAATAGATGTGTCTAAAAAGGAGATAAATTGATAACTTCCTTGTCACCAAACAAATCAAAACTATGCCAGTTCACCTTGACAATGTCAACTGAGTAAGGGGAAAACCTGATTGAATGTGCCTGCACACGTGTGTGAATACGCCGTCTACCTCATTATTCATGCAGAAGCATCTCAGAGGCACGAAGATTAATGTCCCTGGCATGCAATGGCGCCCTGCACCCTCCACATTTTCTTCATTCTCTGGTAGTCTACTAGCTTTCTCACATCGGTGTTATCACGTGGGAGATGGAAGGAGAGACAAAGGGGGAGAGTAATATATGAGAAGTCCATGCTGTCAGCAGGAAAACAAAAGAAGCAGAAAACAGAACATGTACAACTGAAGTGTGATGTATAACTGACTTGCTTGCCTTCCTACATACTCGGTCTCCTTTCCTATGTCAGGGCTCCTTCCCAGGGAACCTCCAGCTGGTTCTGGTTCTGAGGCCCACTACTCTTCTGCAACGCACACTCTCCGACATCCTCTTCAAGTTCAACAAGGATGAGTTCAAGATGAAGGTGCCGGTGCGTGCGCTTTGGGTCTCCTGTGCAAAAACACACTCATGTCTATTCCATGAGTGACTTGTGTTCTCCTCTCAAATAGGAAAAAAATGAAGAGGAAATATAGTTGCTTAAAGATGTTGATGTTTGTCTCTCTCAGGTGATTATGTTGAGCTCTATAACTGAGCTGCACTCTTATATTGATCGCACCCAACTGACTCAGGAGCTCGGGGGAACACAGGAGTACTGCCATGAGAAGTGGATCTCTCACCGCACAGTATGTA